AAAGTGAATTGTACAGGTAGTTACTGTGAACAGACATCTCTTCCTGAGATTTTTGGCACAATTATCTAAAATGTGCCAAATGTGACATTGTATATGTTTAGGAGGATGCCAGCAAAAATAAAAAWTCTGATTGCTGTTTTTTCCAGTGAAAATGAGCAAATGGGCTCTTAACCCATTTARTTTTATGATTAAATCATAAACGTCTATCAGCAATTTGTATTAGCATATGAGATAAATGTGTGTTAATGTGGTCTAGACCTTGTCTATATATCTCCAGTCAGGGACTGGGGCTTTTGCTTGTGTGATTTTTGCTTTTATTTTTCTATTTAATCCTTTCTCAACTTGGAAAACAAGAAGGCTGATGCTCTTTCTTTAATGTATGATATTTTAAACCTCAGATGTCACCCATTCCCTTGTCCTTCTAATGAATTTGTGCATTCTATGAATGCTTGTGAGTCAGAAAGCAGAAGAGAACTCTGTATTTGTGTCACTTAGTGAACTTAAACAAAACCCTACTACGGTTACTGATGATAGCAAACATTCACCTTCTGGTTTTTTTTGTATAAATCAGCTGGAGCTTCAAGCATTTAATCATATCATAGGATTTTAAGAGGGCCTGATGCTTGGATTCAGCATGCATGCTGTAGATGCCAGKGATCTGAGACCAAACCAAAACCTGTGAGGAGTGTATGAGAGCCTTCAGCTGAGGGATCTGCCTCTGCACTGGCCATATGGAGAGTTTTGAGAGTTTTGGGGTATCTCTGTGGTTGCACACACTGATGGCAATGCAGTAACACGGCCAGTCTGCACCTTGGAGTGTTACCTTGTGCCTCCTTTAAGGTGAGGAGGTGTCTGTGATATGGATGGATAGCATGCTGGGATTTAATATGGAATGCCATCTTTTGATGGTAAGTGGTCAGGAGAGGTTGTTGTGACTTGAACTTGATTCTGATCCTCGGTGTTTCTGATGGCAGTCATATAAAAGGGGGAAATGCTTTTGCCATTCAGCTGATGGTTTGGGTTTTGCTTGCTTCTTTCATGTAAAAGTCCAGAAAGTTTGCCGCTGGTGCGGGCTGAGGATCGTTGCAGTAAGAGCTGCTTCCAAAGGAACAACCAACCAATCTAAAAAACTGCCAGGGAGGAGAGCASCTGTGTCCCTCTGCCATCCTTGTGTTTGCTGAGTCTGGCTCTGTGAGTGTGCAGGTTTACTTGTGTTCCATTTTGTGAGCACGGTGTGAACCATAATTGAAATAAGATGCCTTTGAAAAATCTGCTAAGGATTTGTGTCATGATKGGCAAAGGAGTTTTGTTATGTTAGGAAGATRTAGTTAAATGTAACATAAAAYGAAAGGCRGAAGTGAAGTAATTTTCCTTGTTTGAAGGAGCTAAGCAAGGGTTTGTTTCAGTTCTACTGGTAAGGAATATGACACTGGAAAATAGTTAAATTCTGTATCTATTAGGTTCTAATGAAAATTAGACCATACATGAAYATGCTGCTCCTTATTACCTGAGAGGGACTGTGATCATTGTATTTTATGATCAAAGTTATATTACTGAAAGAGCAAATGTTAGCTTCTCTCTCCTTTTTTATTATGCTTTTAAACCTATTACAGAACTTTGGAGTTCAGCACATTAAGTTCATGTGCTGTTAGGAGAATAGCACTTTTTCTGTATACCTCAAATTACTGTGTACCATCAAATCATGTAGTACCTGTCCACAAATCACTGATCACATAATAATGGTAATAATTTCTACAGTAACAGCAGTGTATTAAACAGTTAAATATCCCAGACTTTGTTTGTCCCTTATCTGACAACAAAGGTGGAAAAAATGAGATATGCCATATAGTACATCATTTTTTCAGCACTTATTTAAAGGCTGAAAGGTATTTTCTTTGATGGATYACTGACTTTTGGTAAAGAGAGGTGAGAAAGTTCCATTTTCTGTCATGAGCCAACCAGAACCCGGCATGTTTCCAGAGTCCAGTTTTGAATTTCTGTTCACAGTACAAATTGATGTAGCACTGCGGCCATTGAGGTTTTATGACGTGTACAAAACATTTGTGCAGCTAGAAAATGAGTGGGGGAAAAGAACCAATGSTGACAGTCYGGATGGGAGCWCATTGGAGTGCTGTGAAGCAGAACRCCTGGCATAAGGAGTGGAGGAAGTACAGTCCCTGACCATGTGTCTGGATGCAGGGCACCTGTGAATGTGGGTATTGCAGCTTTGTGGAGGACCACTRATTCCGAGATCTGGATTCTATAACACTGGTACACTGTGAAATGAGATGCTGTGATGTTAGATTGAAAAAAAAAAAATTGCAGACTCTTTGCTTGTAATTAATTTTTTTTTGAAACAGACAACAATTTGTAAAATTGTGACTGTGTTTTAAATGGACTTCAGTTATTTCTAGGTAGCACAGCTCATGCCTGCAGTAGTAGCCTGTAGTAGTAGGTGCTCCAGGTAGTTACTATTAGCAGTGGGGAGGACTTTACTCCTGCTGTGGAACCTGCACTGGTAGGACATTGTATGGAGGGGTTCTTGGAGTTCATATGTTCAGTCYGATCTCTTGATAAGATGTGGCGAGTTTTGCATTTCTTGTTTTCAGTATCATTTCTGAATTATATGCTGTGAATGTTGTTTGGTGTAATGAGAGTGGTGTGGGGTTTTTTTGGTTGTTGTAGTTTGGGATTTTTTTTTGTGTGAATTGTTTGGGGKTTTTTTTGAGTCCTGAGTCATTACTGACTGGATTGTTCTGTGCAGAAATGCAAAGATAGAAGAAAATAGAGATGGAATGGTTAATGCGTTAAATGGTCATTGTCAGTGTGTTGCTGGTGTACTAGTAGCTGCAGAGGTTACATTTGTCCATCTGCCTTGATAAGAAATTCTGTAAATTGTGAAGCTGGAGAATTAACCCATTATAATTTTTTATCTTATCATTGCCATTTGATTGTTTAATCATTGGGAAAAAAACTATTAGTTTCTTTTAAACCCTACACTACCTCTACCGTGAGCTAATATCACAGAGGTGTAGGCTTACTATGGGAATTAACTGTGGTATCACTGTTCCTGAATGCTTATTTAATGAAAAAGCAGAAGAGGTGATGTTGGGAAGAACCCAACTGAAGAATCAGTTTGGTTCAGAGTCTGCAGGAATAAAAATTTGCTTTGGTTTGCCCCAGCTTGTTTTGGCTGTTTTCTTTAAATAGCCATGAATAAAGCTTTGCAACATGGCTGGTAAGGTCCTGCTGACTTCAGTGAGGCTTGGCATGGTCCATTAACAATGTAGTATATTTATACTAGTAAATGGTGTCATTTTGARGTTTATCCCAGGCTCATGGGTATCTTTCTTCTCTCCCACTTCTCTGGAATTATTGGACCTACAGCTGAAGTAGTGGCTTTATTTACTTTGCTGGTAATTGGAGTCACAATTCAGTGTGCTATGCTGCAGTTTCCTTTAGCTGAAAATTGGGAATTAATACTCATGAATTTCATCTCTATAAAGCTGTGCTTTTGAATGCTCCTGATATTTAGTCCTTTCTTTAAAAAAAAAAAAAAAACAAAGTTACCAGGTAGCAATCATCATTTTTATTATTCAGAAAATAGGTTTTTTTATTCAGTTTCTTACATTAGATTTAGAGCTGTGCTTCAAACTTTAGAAGTTTTGAAGCTTTAAAGGATGCCTCACTGAGGCAGAGAAGGAGAGAAGCCTATGTTTTTCCCAAATAAAAATTAACTTTTGAAATGAATTTCTTAATTGTGGAGTTCCTTTTAAGAAAATTAAAAGTTTAGGCTCCCAACCTGTTTTTTAAACATGTACTTAACTTTTAAATATCTGAGTAGGTTTACTGACTTCCCTAAGTATGCACACCACAAGGCTTTTGARTTCACTCACTACAGCTTCTTGAGGGCAGTGGGGCTGTGCTGGGCAGAGGGAGCTGGAGAGTGCACAGTGCCCATGTGTGCAGGGACCTTGGGCACAGCAGTGTCAGGGGTAGCACTGCCAGCAGAATTAATTTTGTGGAGGTGCCRTCCTTGCAGAACCCTGAGTGTTGTCATTTAGAGAAGTCATAATGATCAAAGATTGCTCCAAAGTGGTGAGAAAGCGATTTTCCAACTGTGCCCACATCACCAGTGTGACCCATCGGCCTCTTCCATCTCTGCCCTTGAGAGCGTTGCTTTTCTAGTGGTGCTCAGCCTGCTATTGATGTGATACACACAGACTGTGTTGCCCATCCATTGACATAAATGCTGTTAAGTAAACATGGTCCAAAATGTTTTCTGTTACAACAGGATTGTAAGTAAGTCTGAACAAACTTAAATATGTTCAAAAAGTGCAGAAAGGGGGTTATTCTTTTGTTTTTTTCCTTTGGGAATGAGAATGCGAAGTAGGTATCTGTCCTTTAAGCTCCTTATTCTTCCCTAACTTGTAATTTTGCTAGCTATTTTCTTCCAAAACCTGGCAGAATGACCGAAATCTCACAATTACTGAATTTCTCCTGCCTTTGGAGCAGTCCAGGATGGATTCAAATGACCTTATCTGTTCTGAGAAATGCAGAGTGGTTAGACAGAAAGGTTTCACTACATCTGTCTAATTGTAGAATACTTCTTCTAATAAATTTCTTCAACAATATTTTTCTGGAAGTGTCAGTTTACAAAGTGCATTCTAGTGATATCCTGCTAGATAGGAAAGATTATTTTAATAAATATATTTGATCTGTATTTAAATTTCGTTTTCAGTAGTAGTGTATGATAGGACATTAWTCTGTACATATATGCATTTTAAACTAGCTACATAAAATTGACTGTAGGTACTTGAAACACTTTAATAACCCTTCTTATAAAAAGTGTAAATTTTTTTGTCATTTGATGTTGATTAGTAGACTGTTGCAGAAGATAGCGTAAGAATATGTTATTACAGTAAAATGCTATTAAAAAAAAAGTTGACCTGAATCTTGCATTTGTCAGCTTTGTGACATTTATATTTCTTCCTCATTAGAACTATGCAGCACTGATCCAGCAACAAATTGAGGACACGCAAAACTTGAGAGGAAAGGCTGTATATGGAGCTCAGCTCACAGAAGAAAAACTTAATGACTTCCGTGATGAACAGATTGGGCAGCTGAAGGAACTGATGGATGAGGCTACCAAGCCTAATAAAAAAATCACCATTTCTAAAGACTCAGAATACAAAACATAAAAGATTTTTAAAGTTATTTTAATGCATATGGAAGCATTTTGAAACTACTTTTTCCAGTTGGACCTGAGTGTGGTTTCTGTGAGATAATGGACGCTGCTCATGCTATAACTTGTCTGAAATGGATGTGTTTGGCTTTTTGTGCAAGAATAAATGGAAAAATGTTAATTGCAWTTTTTTTYYYYTTTTTTTTTGTCTAATGGATGTTGAAAGCTGTAAAATATTGGTAAAATTAAATTGACATTTAAAAAATATAGTCATTAGTTTGGGAGTTTCTTGTTTTGTAATTTTGGCACCTATAGGGTAAAACATTTTGTTTGTGTGTCATTCCCTTCCTTAATGGAAAAGATGCAATTAGCATTTATTTTTTGGTGAGGATTCAGTAGATGGAGTGGGTTTGTTTTCATCGAAAGAAATGAGCAGTGTTAGAATAACATACTGCTGGTGAAATTGAAAGTTGGTTTTCTTCTTGAGCTTTATTAGGAAATGGGTTTTAAAATAAAAAATATAGCTCAGTATTAAATTAACCTTGAATCACTATCTTACACAGAAAATTCTGTGTTTTTTCAAAGCTAGATCAGACTATTGTACCTAAAAATTTCAAAAATGAATGGGTTGTGCTGTAGTTTGAATTCAAAGGTTTATATAAAACTTGGTATCCCATGTTATCCAATATTTTGTGTGGAGAAGAATTTGTAAATGCCTTGATCACAGAAACTATCCTTTTGATAATACTGTATGACWAACATTAGTAATTTATTTCTAAAAGTTTAAGACTTCAGTGAGACAATGTGTGACTATTGTAACTACTATTGTAACTACTAATATACTATTGGGACCGAAAAAAAGAGGGGTTTTTTTTTCTGTTAAGAAAAAAGACACCCCTTTCTGTGCAAAAGACAGCTTTCATTTAATCTTCCGAACTTAGTTTTATATTATTAGTTTTGTTCTATTTCTGGACCTTTCCCTGTCTGTTACCCGCAGCATGTTCAAGACAGCATAATTTTTTTACTCTTGGGGAATAACAGCTTTGACAAGTAAGCACATTTCCATCTGTCTTGATTTGTATCAACRTGCTGTTTGCCAAAGCTGTGCTCCTGGATCCTAACAGAGTGGGGAGCAATTTGGGGAGCARCCTCTTTCTTTGGCCTTTTTCTCTCTTTCAAATTCGTTATGTGATTCTAGGCTGCAAATCATTATGCATGCATGTGATTGCTTTTCTGCATCTTCCCCTGGCCTGCACAGCCTTTGTTGTGTGTGCAGCAGGAATATCCTGTAGCCTCAAACACCCAATGCAAACAGGATCAMGGCAGAGATGCCATCCAGACTGCAGGGCTTTTCTCAGGTCCTGGTTCTTGGTGCTTCAGGGGTGTGGTTGGAAAGAGCAGCAGCTCCCTCCTGGCCTGCTCTATACCTAGGATCCCCAGCATCAAAGTGAGAAGAAAATGGCATGTGCATATAGCTTGAAAATTGTCTCTGATACTGCCATTCACACGTTCCTAAAGATTTTCTCTTTTTATGCTTTGAAGTCTATAAAAATTGAATTCAGCTCCAGAGTTAGGGCATAAGGATTTATTGTGTTGTACTTCTATCAGATGWACAGTAATCAATAAATCTGTTTGGTTTTCATACCAAATGTAATGTTTGGGTGTTGACAACAGAGTTTGTTTCCAGCCCTTGGTTGGTACTACACCAGTGCCTGCTTTGCAGTCAATATCCAAGTTGCTTCAAATTTATTTCATATACTGCAAATTAAAGCAGAGTTACTTTTATCAACACATTTAATGAAATTTATTAGTTCAGCAAAATTAGTTATGCTACKTATTGTGCATGTCTGCTCTTGTATGCATCTAGATTTTTAGAAGCTAAATAATAATGAAAAGTTGCTGTTTGGTATGAAAAAGTTAAGCTATTAATGAGACGTAAAGGGAGTTGGAGGTGAGGTAAACATCTTTACATCCCCAGTCTCTTTTCTAGTAAATCCAACCATTTTTTTTCATTCATTCCCAATGGTAGTTTGTGTTTTGTACAATACCTGTATTCTTGTTTAAAACAACTCTCATAAAATCCAATACTCCATAACAGGAATGAAGCACCCTTCAAGATTGCTGGCTATAAGCTACCAACAGCTAATAGTCTGACATGCTCTCCTCTGAGGSCTTATATGAGTGGTGGGGCTCCACAGAAACTTTGTGATGCCAGCACTGCCACACATTAGTAAAATTCTTTCATTTACAAGTATGGTTTATGACACATTAATGGTAAGTTGAGGAAAACAATGGGCTTCTCATCTTAGCCACAGAAAGAGTGACACAGATGCTGCCTCTTGAATTTTGGGKTTTTTTTAAAGTGTAGGATATTTCTGTTGGTAACTTTGCAGTGGGTTTGAAGTACAATGAACAGAGTGAAGCATCTATCAATAGTAATTCAAAACTTCAAGCAGGATGCTATTTCAAATGGCAAAAAAAWTGCCTAGAAAAAAAGGTGCTACTCACCTTATAATAGCTGTAATCACTTTAGAAAAGAATACGAAATTCTGAGTTGTGTTCTCTGTGTTGGATGGACTGCTGTTACACAACTCACCACTGAAAAGCTCCTACTGCCCTTAAAAGACTTCTCTCCATCCAACTTGTCCATTAAGAAATGTTTTGTTGATCTTAAATCCATTTGGCTCTTCAGAGAGTGATAGAATTCACTGGCTGACTTGGCTGAGCCTTATCTGTGGTAACACTTTGTGGCATTGCCTGGCTGCTGTTAGGAGTTGGAGGAAGCTGAAGTTTTAAATAGCTGTAAAAGGCAYGAGAAAAGTCCTATGCACAAGTAAAGAATTTTCAGGCATCTCTCTCATTAAAAACTACCAGTTTTGATRTACAAAGTTATAAATCTTTAAAAGAACAAATAAAATGTCATTCTTTCAGTGTTTTATTTTGCCTATGATGTGAGTTTATGCTTTTTAAACTGACTGTCCAGGAAGAGCTATTAGGACATATTTCTTCCTTAAAAATAAATTAATAATGTAACCTCTTGAAGGTAGGATTTATGAAGAAGGTTTATTCCTTAGCTATTTGGACTTTAATCATTTTGAATTATTAGCAGACATTCTATTTCTTCTTCTTGGATATGTATGAGACACCGGCTATTCACTGATGAGTCAGTGGCCAAATTTTCATTGGCTTCTAGATGAAAATATTGGACAATTAGTGAAAGAAACATGCATTCCCCTGCCTGTTATAATCAATTTTAATTTCTACTTTCTATAGCTAAACTAATAGCAGAGGGAAGCCTGAGTCTCACAGCAGATTGATTTACCCACATGGGACCRTAGGGGATCTATGTACCTTTGATGTAGGGTGAAAGCTGATTCATTGGAAAAAACAGCAAAAGAAGTATCTATGTGTTATCCTGYTTAACTGTTGATTTTCAGTTCTCTTGGAAAGAGTTTGAAGGTAAATCCTTTCTGCTGGAGGGTACAGGTGCAGCAGCGTAGGTGTTGCCGGACTTGTTCGGTAAACAGAGCTGCCTGACCCACCTCRTGCTGCTCCATGTCCTGGTGCTGGACCGGGCTGGGTGTCTCTGTCTAACAGTGAGGAATGATGTCCAGAGAGGTCTTCCCCACTGAGCCACATCGGGAAATTGTCTGCAAAAGGTGGTGCAAATTAAATGGCATAGAAGTGATAACATTTGCACTGGTAAATGATCTGTTCTTGTTCATGGAGGTTATGCATCTGCAGCAGTTTCAGTAGCCACAGCTCTGCTCTGGGAAGAGTCTTGACAATGCTAATTCCTTCTAGCTTTTACAGAGGTCAGTTAAGGTAGATGTAGATCACAGGATCAAATTTTATTAGGATGTAACCATTAGATTAGTATGATACAAAGTATTCTTTGTTCATTGAAGGTGAGAGCTGTAAGTGTGTAAGAAATGAATGGTTTTGCTACTTGTAGCAGTGTGTTATGAGGGAATGCCAGGTGTTCCAACAAGCTCATATACAGGGTATATGATTCTGCACAACTGATGTGTGTCTGTGGAGTTCAGTGTTTAATCTGCTCTCTAACGATTTCAAAGCTAGTACTTGAGAATATAAGTAAGGAAGAATCCTTTGTTTAATAAAATGACCTTTAGTTAATGAATATTTGTCAACTTGTTATAAATGCTGAGGAACATMAGTGTGTATTACCACTGTAAAGCCTTTAATAAGTAGTTTGCTGAAACACCACCATTTGCAACACCATTTCCAGCATTGATGAGTCTTCTGGTTTATGCCAATTGCATTCCTTGAGGCTTGAAGTGAAATGTGTGTTAAGGAAGTGAACATTTTCCCCCCGAAGGTTTCTTTTTCTGGTTTTGACTGGCAAATACAAGTACAGAATCTGAAACACTGATGCGTGTTTATCCTGAGAGATTAACAGCAAAACAAATAAAACATGCAGAGGAATGTWAGCTGGCAATACCTTTGCTGGGGTTGTATCAAAGGCAGGATTTCACTTAGCTTTACTGTGGTGGAATAGTGTACAGAAWCTGTAGCACAGAAAGTCTGCCAGAACAGACTACTTGAGTACATATTAAAAATATATCACTGTTATCAGTGAATTCACCTTTGATTATAATCCAGGAGGTTAAAAGAACTTGTCAAAGCTGAAGAAAATCTCCAATTTGTCAAATACCCAGTTAAAACTGATGTGAGGACTCCATTCTATTTAATTTATAATGTGAATACATGCTACTGGTTTTGGGAAAATGGACCTGTCTGGAGCATCAGCTTAAGATGGTATTATACAGCGCTCCCAGAATGTACCCTCAGGTACAATAGAAGGGAAAACTAATTTGTGGCTTTTCTTTACAAATGATAAAATTGAACTGCTCTGCTTTGTTTTTTTTTTTTTCTCTGAATTAAATTACACCATTCCTGTCCAGTTCAGATATTCCAAATTAACACGGTCAATTGAAAGATCAGTTTGGAAAAGAAATCAAGTGCATTTTTATGTACATTGAGGTACAATAGGGCTTGTTGGGATACGTCTGTATTTCAGACTTATTTTATTATCCTAGTTACGGAATCATAGAATAACCTCAGTTGGAAGTGACTCACAGGGATCATCGAAGTCCARTTCCTGGCCCCACACAGRRCAGCCCCAAAAATCACAGCATGTGCCCAGAGGGTTGTCCAAATGCTTCT